ATGGAATACTACTCAACTACAAAAAAAATGGTGAACTAGCACCTCATATATTATCCTGGATAAAAATTGAGCCCATCCTTCAAAGCGAGGTATCACAAGGATGGAAAAACATGCACCAATTGTACTCACCATCAAATAGGTACTAATTAATCAACACTAAGGTGCTCGCATGGTAGTAATACTCATGGGGTGCCAGTCATGTTGGGTGCTGGGAGGGCAAATCCACAGCTAATGGAAGTGGAGCACACTGTATAGGGGAAGGACATGCTTGTAGCCCTGGTTTGGGCAAGGCAAATCCATTACATGTAAATAAAATGTTTGTACCACCATAATATCCTGAATTTTAAAAAATAGATAAAAAATAAATGGTCAAGGAAAACTACGTAGAAGAAAGAAATTAGACCCTCATCTTATACCATATACAAAAATCAACTCAAAATGGATTAAGGACTTAACATTTTTAAAAAGCTTCACGACAATGGTCTGAACAAGTATCTTTTTAGATATGACCTCAGAAGCACACACAGGCAACAAAAGCAAAAACAAGCAAGTAGGGATACATCAAACTAAAACTCTTCTGCACAGTAAAGGAAAAATTCAACAAAGTGTAAAGACAACCTACAGAATGGGAGAAAATATTTGCCAACCATATATCCGTTAAAGGTTAAAATCAAAAGTGTATAAGGAACTCATACAACTTAATAGCAAAGAAACAATAATATGATTTAAAAAATGAGTAAAGCATTTGAATAAACATTTTCAAAAGAAGACACACAAATGGGCAAACAGGTATATGCAAAAATGCTCAACATCACTAATCATTGGGAAAATGCAATTAAAACCACAATGAGATGTCACCTCATGCTTGTTAAAATGTCTATGATCAAAAAGACAAAAGATAACAAGTGCTGGCTGGGATGGAGAGAAAGAGAACTCTTGTACACTGATGGTAGAAATGTAAATTGGTACAGCCATTATGAAAATGAGAATGGAGGTTTTCTAAAAAATTAAAAATAGGACTACCATATGAACCAGTAATCCCACCTCTGTGTATATATCCAAACTATGTTAAATCAGTGTGTCAAAGAGATATCTAAACTCCCATATTGCTTGTAGCATTATTCACAATAGCCAAGAGTTGGAATCAACCTAAGTGTCCATCAAGGGATAAATGCATAAAGAAAATGTGGAATATCTGCACAATGGAATACTGTTCAGCCTTAAAAAAAAAAAAAAAAAAAGGAAATCTTTCCATTTGTGACAACTTGGATGAACTTGGAAGACATTATGTTAAGTCAAATAAGCCAGGCACAGAAAGACAAACACCCATCAAGTCACTTATATATGAATCTTAAAAAGTCAATCTCATAGAAAAAGAGAGTGGAATGGTGGCTAGCGGAGGCTGTGGGGTTGGGAGGATTGGGGAGATGTTGGTCAAGGGATATGAAATTTCAGTTAGACAGTGGAAATAAATTCTAGAGATCTGGTCTACATTATACTGACTATAGTTAATAACAATATATTGCATACTTGAAAATAGCTGAAAGTACATTTTAAGTGTTCTCATATAAAAGATAAGTATATGAGGTAATTCATATATTAACTAAGTTAATTTAGTTATTCCACAATGTATACATATTTCAAAACATCATGCTGTATTTCACAAATATATATATATATTTGTCAATTAAGAAATGAAAAAGCAATAAATTATTTTGAATGAAAAAAATAAGTAAAAACAAATGTTAGTTCTTCTGAGGCTCAGTAATGAGAAATTGTTTCCTATCTTTAAATGATTAATAGTCATCATAATTATTATTTAATAGTTATTGTGTATATATATACACAAAAATGTGCATGTATATAATTTCAAAATAATTTGAAACAATGGAAAATGAACCACTTGTTTTTGTTTAAGTGAGTTAAAAAACTCTGTCTACAAAATCACCAATGATAAATGATAATGGAAAACAAGTTAATCTTCTTCTTCACACTCTTTCTCTGAAAGACTTTTAAACTTGCTCTTGAGATAAGCTCATTCAACTTTAAAACTCTGAATAGTAGTAAATCTGGCAATAAATGACTGGAACGCTATGTTAGAGGATTATATGAATTTCTTTTGTAGTTAACAACGCCTCACTTCTAGCACTGTACATAAATGGACATACTCTCCTTTAGATTCTAAGAGAAATTCTGCCTGACTCTAACTCAGCATGGACAAAGGCAGAGGCAAATTACTCTGTTGAGTAGAAAGTTGAGATCGTTGAATCATTGCTCCACTGGATGATATTTGTAATAAAAATATGAATAAAATCAAACAAAAACAAAAAGATAAACTCTAAGTTACAGTAGCAAAAGATACTTCAAAATGTATGAATTAAGCAGTGATTAGTATTTTTATAAATCAGGTAAAAGAATAATTTCCCTTCTAAAGCCATTTTACTTTAAATGATAGGGTGATTTTGCATTTTCTGGAGTAACATCAAGCTTTCTATTTGAGTTGGCACAAGGAGGTTTGATTTAACAGAAAGAGTTCTTTGGGTGTTAAATTGCTTATCTTTCTCTTTTGACCCAATGTCATCCCGACCATGTGTCACAGTGACATGGAAATAAAAAAATAGTCATCACATTCTACATGTGTCAAGTCTATTGACATATTGAATTGCTGACTTATGTATTGTCATCATTACAAGATATTATTATGTTCTACAGAATGTCAATTCTAGGTAGAAAAATAATACACAGATATCAAAAGAGGTAAATCTTTGTGACAAATTAAATCCATCAAAAAATTGTATTTCTCATTAAAAGTTTTTTCCTAGAAGTAATGTTTTATTATTGTTTGATGAAAACAAAACATATGGATGTTTGTAATTACATTTTGAGAAGATAACCCTCATTTTGCTATACTAACAAAAAAATTTAAAGAGCTCACTTTAAAATCATAAGTAATACCAAATTTTATGGTATAACTTCTTAAAAATCTCCTACAAGTTTCCTGTTATTAGATTGGAATGCTTGAGGACTAAATATTATTGATGATATTGTCTAACTACTTCATATTATATTAATAAATGAGAAAGCTAAAGTCTGTAAGCATTAATATGATTTAGCCACGGTAACATAATTACAAAGTCAGAACACCCCAATCTCTTAGTTTCTTACATCAAAATTTTAATGCAAAATGACTGGAAGAGAAACAAAAACCCCTGTATTTTTGTACAGGAAATACAAAAGGAAATGCATAACATTGTTATATTGAAAGAGAAAATTCTGTAGAATATGAATATGGTTCATTTTATTCCAGGCTATATTCTGGCCTTTTGACATTAAAACCTGACCACAAAATAAAATTATCTTTCCTAGGAAACTGAAGTGCAATTGTTTAGCAGGGTACTCGGAGAGAAGCAGCCAAGAGAGCAGCCTGAGAAACCTCATGGCAGATTGCAATCAGGAACATTCTCTGTAGACAAGGCATTCATGTTAAAATACAAACTCTATGCCAGTTGATTACTGTTACAGTTTGGGTTCCGACGTGATGATTAGCAATATACTTTTCCTAAAATATTTTCTCAAAAGTTAAATGAGTAAAATATATGCATGTAATTAGTGTCACATTGTGTACTGAATTGGACTGGGCTGTATTATGGTCATGTAATTATTTCTTTAAAGTGTAAGCCATCACTTAAAAATTTAGCTACAATTTATGTTGATGAGTGGTTTAGGGGATTTGAAAAAATAGATATAATTTGCAGAGAACATGTAGGATTAATCGTAGACATTCAAAATTCTACCTGACCTTTATCCCCACACTGTGACGATTTAAAATGCTAGCCACTTCATGAAAATGTTTTTGCCCATGTCACCACAGAGTAAAAGAAAAAAGAGAATGTTAAAAGTACTGATGTTTTTAAACAATAGTACACAGACACAGAATATACTATTAGAAAACATAACTCAGCAACAAAGAATACTAAAACAGAACATATATTTGGGAATATGACATGAAGTCATTTCCATTCTAATGATATTGTATTTAGAAGGCAAAGTAAAAGGCAATGTCATTTACCATAGCTGCCTACTTGATTGTTTTGATGAAAATTTACTATGGTGGCTTGGGAGCAATTTTCCTAATCCCATCTTTGCTCCTAAACAACGTATGAAAGTGGTATCACTAAACCATAATTCAGTATCCTGAATGCAGTGAGAGGAGTACCCAGGAATATCTGCTGAATTTCAACAGCCATTAACATGGACTCTGTTACCTGAAGAGAATACGTTTGCAAGAAATAACACCAGTGTGAAAGCAGTATTTCTAAAGTGATAATTAAAATGCATTTCCATTTCATATCTAGGGGATTTTGCAATTCAAAGAATCCTGCATTCATCCTTACACATTTATGCTCTGTTCACTCTTATTTTTATTTCTACCAAACCCTGCCAAGCACCAGATGCACATTAAATGTATTAAAATGGGTGATTCACAAATGTCAGCTTTCCTTATCACTAAGAAAAAGTATCATATTTTCCTTCACAAGTGTTAAAATAACATCTTAACCTCTAAACATCTCTCCTCAAGATCTTTTGGACTTTTAAGGAAGATTATTCTAAAATGTTTCCTACTGAGGAACATTTTATCTGGGGGAAGATTCATTGATAAATCCATTTTACTTTTTGTGTTTAGACATCTTATATTAAAAACAAGTTATTTAGAAAATATTTATGAAGATCTTTTTAGTTTCTCAGAGTTGGAAGAAGGTGAAAAGGGCCACCTTCAAAGATGAAAAAGACACATATTTTGTAGTCTAGTGTTTTATGCTTTTCAAATACTGAAGAAAAATGTTAGATTAAACATTTACTAATTAATCCTGGAGCCATTTATAAACTGTCACATATACTACTCAGGCAAAAATGTTTCAATATCAGCTCCAGGTTGTAATAGCTCCTGTAGTTTTATAAAAATTGAAGAAATTAACAAGTCATTGTTTTTCTGGAAACATAGGGAAAAGGTACGAATGCTCTGGACTTAGAGTCTTCTGTCACTCATTCATATATGGTAAGTGTGATATTTTCATGTGCTAATCATGGTTGGCTGGACATATTTCAGAGATCACACTCAACTGATTAAGTCAAAGACAATTAAGGTAAGACAGTAGTATTCTAAATGAATCCAACATTGCTCTCCTTTCTTACTCAGGCTCATACCTTGCTGACATATTCTGTGCTCAAGATTGTTAATAATTAAACATTTTCAGTGCCTAAAACTTGGCATTTCTGTCATGCCTCAAGAACTGAGAATATAGTTAAGTCCACTAGAACTTATACCATAATATGGAGAATGGCAAGAGATGAGGTGTCAGAGCTAGGCAAAAGTCAAATCATGGAAATCATTTAAAACCATGATGAAATGTTTCATTTTATCTTCAGTTGAAAGGTTTAAATGTGGAAGTAATGTCAGATTTTCATTTTAAAAAAGCCATTCTAGTTTTAATATGTAATAGAGATTATCAGAGGGCAAGTTTATTAGCAGGGAGATAAGTAAATGTGATGATAGGTGAGAGAGTTGGTGTTTGGGTAGTGTCAGAATATCTTTTGGAAGAAAGGGAGAAAAATTTATTCACTGGTTTTTATCAAGCATTGGATGAATATTTGCACCTCAGATACATTTGTAGCCTCCATTATAACTGGCTCCAAAATATACAACGGGACCTACAAATTTGTGATGATAGGATGATCTTGCTTCTTTCCAGAGAAAGGTAATACCAGTTTAGTAAGTCATGGAGTTCCCTTCAAGGTAGGAACCAGCCACAATCTTTGAAAAACCTTAAGATGAGAGAGTTAATGAAACATGGTGCAAGCCCCACTGTTGCCACTGACCTCAAGGCCTAATTTTGACAGTCACAATCCATCCTCCACCTCCCATTCTAGATTTCCCACTCTTCCCATCAAGCTGTTCTTCAATACCTGCCTAATAGTATATTACAGACCTTTATCCCAAAGGGATAAGCAAAAGTCCCTTATTTACATTGCCCTTGTTGGACCACGGTTGCTGCAATTACCATTTGTCATTATTATTGGGGATAAAATCACCAGGAATCCTATGATTTCCAAATATACTCACCCTGCCCTTCATGTGGTAGCAGTCCAACTTTTTTTGTATGGGAATCAGGGTTGCTTATTTGCACCAGTATTTATTTTTCTTCCCACTTGACTATTGACACAAAGAGCTCAGAATGGCCAAGGGGAGCGGTATCTACTACTTCAAGTTCAGTAGAACCCTCATTGTGTCCCTCAAATAAATGGTCACTTCCTGGAAGCTAGGATCTCTAATGTGGCTATTGCACAGAATAATAAGCACAGATTCTGTAAGTAGAACAGTTGAAGTGATGATGAGAAGGGCCAGTTATATCTCTGGTTCTTGGTATTCAGACCTGTGTGTTTTAACTCTTGGGAACACTGACCCATATTGAGGACACTGGTACATATTTATACTACATCCCAAAAGATAGCATCCTGCCCTCACAAGCTCCTCACTCCAAATTGGCATATTTGCTAAAGTTTTAACAGGCCATTCAACTGTTTTAATAAGACAAGTGCTCCTGGGTTTTTTGTTATATAGTAGAGCTTCTGAGATATTCATTCTTCTGTTAATAGCATCGTGTTATATGGAACTAAGAATGTCCAGAGAAGTTTTCCAGAATAATACAGGTAATTGAAGCCTCTGAGGACTATACTATGTTAGAGAGTAGGACTATTAACATAATTCTGGAGGCAAGAAAGTGAGTATATATTTTTGTGTCTGACACATGGAAGTGAATTGCTTGCTAATTGAGAAGAATATATTCCTCAGATCAATAATCATATACCAAGTGCCCAAAGTTGTGTGCACATATTCTAACAAAGATACTACACCTGACGTACCAGCTACAATTTAGTTTACTACATGGATAACTTTACAGTAATCCACTGTCATCACCATAATCAATTTGGTTTGTAGGGGCTCTATGGGGGAATGAATTGGAATAGGAAGGGGACTGCCATACTTGCATCCTTTCAGCATTCTATCACAGAATGAATCTCAAAAATCCCTCCCAATATATTTGATATCAAATATTTGATATTTCCTCTGATTCATTAATATTATCTTGGTTTGTCAAGGGAGGAGAAGAAATGGCCAAACTCTCCTCTTCATAATTATTTCTTACTCCACAGATCAGGCACTAATATGTCGTGAAAGTTCTACCAGGTGCTAAGTCTGCCCTACTCAGATGTTTTGTGTCTTATCCCTAGAATCAATATGAGCTATTAGTCACTGCCACAGTAGTCAAGTAATGTTATCTCACAACTGGGTCTGTTGCCCACCACTCAGTAAAGGTCAATACACCAAGACAGCAAGAGCTGCAGCAGAGAAAAAATATAATATTGCAAGGCGCCTGATGAGGAGATGGGAGCAATTTCTCAAATCCATCTCTGTGAGAATTTAGGGGCTAAGAATTTTAACGATGGTTTGGTGAACAAAGGGCTAGAGAATTGAGTCTACTTTTTAGCCAAGGATAAACTCCTATGATTTTAAAGCAGAAATTGTCTTCTTGGCTGAGACATTTTCTGGGTAGGAGGTTTCAGGACTTGTTTGATGGTTCCCATGCATGTCCAGGTCCAGTTGATGTCAGTGGGTCCCTATGAATGCAAAGTCTGGAAGATATCTCAAAGACCAGCTTTAGGATTTACAATAGCAATAATATCTACAGAAGCAACTGAGGAAGTCACAAATCTTACACCTGTCAAGGAGGATATGCACCATTTAAGCAGTAAGCAGGTATAGCAGTAGGGAAGTTAAGGAACAATGGCTAGTTAACTATTGGCTATTTCTACACTTTTATAGAAATCAGACTTTTATCCCTATTTCTACCTTATGGCCTTACACTATTTTAATATAGGAAATTTCAGTAACCTGTAAGCCAAGGTGCAGAGATTCACATTATGACCTTATGGCCCCTTCTGATAATTATATTAGCCTTAATTCTGATGGTTAAGTGCCGCTATCTGGGCTTCACAATTTGAGAATCTCCATCCCTATTGACACTAGGGAGTCTAGTTCCATAACAGCAGCCCCAACACACTACTGCCAGGTGTTTTATGAATGTTTCATGCCCATGTCACCAGTGCATTTTTTGTTGCCTTCATGAATAGTCAGATAGTGGTTCTTAAATCTTTATAGGTAAATCTACTCTAAACATTTCCATCTTCTTGATCCTGCAGACCTCTTCCTCAATACTATGCCAAGGAAATCCTGTCATCTTCTCTCAATTTGTTGTAGGCTATCATCATGCCCAAGCTTCAAGAAGACATACATAGACTATCAGGACCAGTGTCAAGTGTCCTTGCCAGAACATTAAAACCTGATTTATGGGTGAAGAGCCATAAGAAAACAAATCCTCCCCTATCTAGTCTTATAGTCTTTCCCATTCAACATAGTACTCTCAAGATCCAACCCAACATACCTCCCTGTTTCCTGCTGGTACATATCAGTGATGTCTTTCATATAAAATATTTCTTCCTGGAGCAGGTGCGTACTACCCTATTCAGGCTTTGCTTAGATCTGATCTTGGTTACCAACTGGAGGAAATGAAAAATGATGGGGCAGATGTTTAGGAGAACAAGTATCACCTTGTAAGTCATCTGAGGCATAGTCACCAAGCTTCTCATCTCTGGGAAGGGGGAGTGTGTGTTGCTTTTTCTAGCTTAGAGTCTTCAAGGAAATTTGGAGTTTCAAGATTTTCAAGTTCACCAACTGAAATGTCACCATCCCTAAGTTCAGACGCCTTTTCTTTTTCTTGTTATTTAATTTTTAAATTTATAATTGACACATAATTATACATATTTATAGGGTATAATGTGATCTTCTAATGCATGCATACATTTTATAATTATCCATCAGTTCTCTGACTTAGACACACAAATCTCTTTGAAGCTATGTATTCAGTCCCTTTTGCATCTCTGCCACCCTCACAGTTAGATTTTGGGTTGATAATTAGCACAATTTGCTCTTTAGTTATAGGAGATGAGAATCTTTAAAAGCTGTCATAGAGGCTGGCTGGTTGCACTGGCTCATGCCTATAATCCTAGCACTCTGGGAAGCTGAGGCAGCAGGATTGCTTAAGGTCAGGAGTTTGAGACCAGCCTCAGCGACAGTGAGACCCTTTCTCTACCAAAAATAGAAAAAAAATTAGCCGGATGTAGTAGTGTGCACCTGTAGTCCCAGCTACTCAGGAGTCTGAGGCAGGAGGATCACTTGAGCCCAGAAATTTGAGGTTGCAATGAACTATAATGATGCCACTGCACTCTACTCAGGGTGACAAGGCGAGACTGTCTAAAAAAAAAAAAAGCAACAATCACAGCAATCTTATATTCTACTACTTCTCCTTCTTTCTATAGCTCTATACTAATCACAGGTAAAGGCTTTAGTAACGATGATGTCACTATATGCTGTGTATTAATATTTCAATCCTGTCACCAATTATCTTATCCAAGGTTCAACAGAAAACAGAACTTGAGGCAAAAAGTTTTATTAGATAACACAAGTCAGAGAGAGGAGGAAAGAGAGACAAGAGAAATAATGCACAGAAAGTTGTGTTATCATGCTGATCTAAGTGTGAATGATTACTCAGTCTGACTGGCTCACCCTCTAGGAAGGACACTTGATATTTATATCTCAGGAAGCATGGGGCATTGGGGTGGGTGGTGGAGTGTGGATGAAGAAAGAGGATAAAGATCCAACCAAGGACTCCCTTATCTCATTAGTCAAAGTATCGTCCCTTGGGGCATTAAGATTTCCATACACCTAACATTGCTCATGTGTGGGAACCCAGTAAGGCCTTGTGGAATCTCATACCCATATGTCAACAGGAACACCACAGGACAGCAGGTGAGAGGCATTCAGCAGGAACGGAGCTGCTCTTATTTTTAGAACTATATGGAACAATATAGATAGGTGAGTCCAAGAGGATCTGAAGTAGCACATAAAAATGTGTCCAATATACTACGAAGGAATCATCTCTTTGGGATAAGGCTTTCTTTTATCAGCCACAAAATGGTCTCCTAATGTAGACCTTAGTTATTAAGTTGGGTGATATAAAATGATTATATCACAAGATTTTCATTTAGGTACAAATGCTATGTTTGAAATAAAAAGACAATGGGCTTTTAGATGAGATGTTTAAAAAAAAAAAATGGGTGGCTGGCCTTTGCTTGGTCACTCTTGAAGGATTAAGCAACACAGTTCCTTTCACCTGGCCACATGGCTTAACAGTCAGAGTATGCCTCGCTGGCCTACAAAATGAAGAAATCCAGAGCCATCTCCGGGACTGCAAAAGACAACAGGACAAGCGCATGTCCACGAGTCTATGACATGTGCCAAGGCTGCCGATGTTGCAGCGGATGAGGTTCTCTGATGGGGTTCCGGTCTTCTAACTAGAAGAGGCCGGATCTAGTTGTTTTAAAGATCTATTGGTTGTCAAAATGACTTTACCCACTCTTATCCTTCACCAGCTTTTTCCCGAACACTGCCTGGTACGACAAAAAACTGTAACCTTTAACTCCCTTTTTTTAGCTGAGGACCTTCCATTTTCTTCCTTACTAGGTCTCAAGAAATATGAGGCAAAACAAACTTTACTTGGCTCATTCATACTTTCTCAGTCTGTGTGATATATCAATTATTTGGCAGAAATACAGAGTTGTAAACGCACAGAAATAGAAAACAAGGGCTTAATTAGCATAGTATTAGTGGGCAATTCTCAGTATCTGTTTAACAAAGTTGCATATCTTTTTTTTATTTCTTCAACATGCTACCTGGGAGTTTACCATTAGTTTCATCTGCAGCTCAGAGTAAGGAATCTATGTTAGCCTTCACATATATAACTTCCTGTGGATATATACTCCAGAGTCGTTTTAAGAATTGAGTCTTATAGGTAAGGTAATGCTTATACTTATTTTCTATTACTTCTTATATTCTGCCTCTTACCAGCTATGTGACTTTAGGCAAGTGAATGAACATTCTTGCCCTTGTTATCTTCTGTAAAATGGAGCTTTAAATAGTACCTCTTACATGGGCTTCTGATAAAGATTAACATTTAGCACTGTGACTGGTACACAATGTTAATATTTTTGTTCAGTCGATAAGGTTGTTGATGGCTGTCATCCTTGCAAATAACTTGCTGTCTGGTTTACACAGTCACATGTTTCTGTAGGAAGCTCTTGGGGGGTCCCTTGATATCGCCAGCTAGAAAGACAACTATTTTTCTTCCGATTTTCTCAATAACATGTGTATTTTCATTATGTTAAAACTTTGCCTCTTTAATTTTAAATGTAGTTCTGTACATACAAGCCACAAAAGCATTTGGATATGTGAATCTGAACTAAAAATGCATTTCTCACTTCTTTCTACTCAAGGTTCTCACAGATGGGCAACTACGAGTGTGGGAAACTTAATTCCGCAGGGGAGAATCCTTTGACAAAAGGGATATGGAAGCTTGAGTTGTGTAATGAAAATAAATAGGATATAAATGATCTAAGACTCCTTATGGTAAGTTTATATTTGAGAATTCATTTGTCCTTCATAAAAATGGAACAAAATGGCAGAATGTACACTGGTTTCAGAATTAAAATAGCCAACATTTCTTAGATGTTACTGACAATAATATATATTTTTAAGCACACAATTTTAAAAAGTAAAAGTGGTTACTTTTGATTTCAAGTCATTTTAACTTCTGTGATTTTGTGGTATGCTTTAGAGTCTTCATAGAATAGTATAGTAGTTAAGTTGCTGTGGATCAGAAAAAAAGGTGTATTTTGATTATATCTCTACAACTTATTAACCTTGGCATTTAGTTTTTTTTAAATCTCTGTTTACATTTCTTCATCTAAAATGAAGTAATTGTATCATCTTCATAGAGTTTTTATTATCATTAAATGAGATAATGTATGCAAAGCACTTAGAAGTGAAATGCTATAGAAATGATAGTTTTAATTTACTAGAGGATGAAAAGTTTGATTTATGGCTACTATAAATTTTTGTGTAAATGTATAGAGAATGAAGAGAAGAGGTTCATGTTATCTTAATTTATGTTAATGTGAATTGCAATTCCCTATAAAATTTAAATTTAATTTATACCAAAAAATAAGAATATAGCATTTATCTCAAGACAAAAGCTGTGTAGTATAGTGGAAATAGTGTAAAATTTGGAGTTGGAGACCTAGATCCTATGTCTGACCTACTGCCTACTTGCCAAGAGAATTTTTACAAATAACTTGCCTTTTTCACTTCAGTTTTAAGAGGAGAATGTAATCATGACTTTCATTTTTATTGCTTTGTCATTTATTAACTGAGAAACTTTACTCATGCTCTTTAATTGTTATGTGCCTCAGTCTTCACATCTGTACATTGGGGATAGTAGTGTCTGTGTCACCATGTTGTTGAAAAAAATAAATGAGATAAAGCAGGTAAATTCTTGGCACAGCATCTTGCTGAGAGTAAGCGTTGAATATGTGCTGTTGTATTTATTATCTCTTATACCTCCAGAATTCTGTGACAAACAAATGTAGTTTCTAGGCTGAAAAATCACCTAAACAAATTTTGTTGTTAATTCAATGACACCTAGATTTTTTAATCATTTGCTGGATTATTCACACACTTTAAATTGTAATAAAAGTATAATTTTGTTATTTTTGAGCCCCCCAAACATACTAGTTGTAGTATCAGATGACCATGACTTGAAATTATCTTATAAATGCAAATATTATAGATATATACATAATATTTAGAAAAAAATAGAGCAAATAATTTGATCAAAGCAAAAAGATATCTGCCTTCCTTGTGATTATAGATCTGTATTGACTCTAAAAATATGCATATTTATTACAGTTAAGTTCCAAAATTATCATTTGACTAAATATTTCTTTCTATAATGAACTTAGAATATTCACAGTAACCATCAAATTAAAATAAAGTGCTCTATTTTAGTTCTTTTTATTCACATGGGTTTGCTAGTAAATGTAAATTTTTTTGACCAGTTTTCTAAGGAGTACATTCTGGATAACACATTAGACAGACTATTGGTTTTTGGAACATTTATAAACATAAAATCTTCAGCATCTTATATGACAAACTAATAGATATTTAGGAAATTACTCAGTGTATTAATAATAATGAAATAAGAAACTATTTTTATATGCTTCTTAGAATGGGGAATATCAATTAAAGGAAGACAAAATTGACAAAATGGATATAATACAAAAAACAAATGGTATTGCAATGTAGTGGGAAAATGAATGATTCTTTCCAATCTCATTTAATTGCAATATTTCCTACTTTTCAGGCTATTGATGGACTCAACAATTTTGTTAGAGTAGGTGTTATATCTCTGAATTATTGAATCTTATTGCATTACCATGTATGATATATAGCGTTTTCATGATTGAATTCAAAATATAAGGTAAAGTATGTAGGCATTTTAATATAAGCATGACTTTCACATTTGCATGTGTTCTTCAGGGAAACAAAAACACATCCATTCTTTAAAGCTATTCCTCATATTTCATTAAATAGAATTGAACATGCTTGTAATTCTAGAGTTGTATTTTATTTTTCAGAACCTAACTTCCAGAAAGGGACAATCTGAAAGTATATTTCTAGCATGCTGCCACAACAGAACTTGGAAGAGGTTAGATGTAAACAAAAGTAAAGTGGAAATCACTGGCACAGATCTAAAATCCAGTCTTATTAGGGTAAGAAAATTATATCCAATTTGAAAGCTGAAATTGCCTTCCTCTATAACTGTTTCAAGCTTTGGAGAAATAATTACATTTCATTGTATGTTTTGCTTACTCATGCAGAATGTAACTAAAACTTTTGTTGTTGTTGTTAAATGCTGTAGTCTAAATTCCATTTCACACTTGTTCCAGGTAATTCTCAGCTCAAGCCAACCTTGGGCTTCAGGGATTTCTTCTGCTTTGTGCTCAGGAGACAATAGAGTATAATTTTGAATGCACAGCGCTTCATTTCAAGATCAATTCAATTGTACCAAAACCATATAACCTTAGATTATTTAATCAACTAATTTCACAAGTGGAAAACAAATGCAAAAGTGAAGAGTTCAATGTTACTTGATATTTAACATGATTAATATAGTTTTCTGTCTTTGCATTTCAAGAAGTGATACTGTATGTATATATTCAACAAAAAATTAGATTCTTATTGCATGCCGGCATTGACATTTCTCATCTTTTGTTAGACTATGCCTTCACTATAAATTCTGTACTGTGGAGAAGGACAGGAAAATAGTCCCTCTAATCTCTTCATCATAAAGAGTGCACTGTATAGAGAGACACACTTGCAGACCGGCTTGGGCAAGGCGACACATTACATATAACCAAAATGTTTGTGCCCCATGATATCCTAAATGAAAAAATCTTTTGAAAAGCAGCATTACTTAATTTGGGGTAATATGAAAGATCACAGAGTAATAGTGCCTTACAAAGGAATGTATTTCACACCTATATGTGCACCTATATCTATGCATAGGTACACATCTACAAGAATAGCTGCTTCAAAATTTTCAAAGATAAGTGTCCAGGGTTGAATAGTTCAGTATTTCTATATCAGCCCTAAGTCCTTCTCATGAAATAGGTAAGAGCTTAGAGTAAGATAAAGCCTTTGGAGACTCCCTCTGGGCTTAGTATTCTCCTTCATTTAGATTGTTTTTCTTTCATTTTCTCTCATAGCATCATTATAAAGTGGACTGTAGTTGCTCAATGAGCTCCTAATCAAACTACTCAATTAGAATCTCAAAGACCACCTCAAATCTTCTTCTCACATGTTGTGGCCAAAAGCATTTAGATTTGAGACAATTTAGTGGATACTTACCTCGGAGTCTCAACAAAAATTGTGTCAATAGTGTTGGACCATTATAAAACCTTTATTTTTAAAAATTATTTTCTAGCAGTATCTTTTGCCTGACGATATTCCCCTTAAAATTATGTTACTAAATCTATTCTCTGACAGCTGCATGAGGTGTGTGTAAGTGATTAAATGAGATGAAGTAGCACCAAATAGAAGGTACTTTGCAGTACTCTGAATGTGAATATTCGTCAGAGCCAAAATAAGTGTTGCACATATTTTTTTATTTTCTTCAAAAATAAATTAGATTATTTTCCCATCAGACTCTCTTCTGAGGTTCTACCACCAGCAACTTAGAGCATTCACCAGTTTTCTCACAAAGGTATGTAATAATTTCTTCACCTGGTTATAATTCTATAAATTAGTCTAGAAATTTCTGTCACATTAAGTTTTTTTCCTTTAAATATAATCTTTATATGTATCATTCCAGATCTCTGTCTACAACTGTGTTAATTTGCATAATATCACTCACATAATTAGGATCATAAAAATTAAACTAATATAGAATTCATCTTCACTTACATTTAAGAATAACATTATAGTTTATGGTATCTAGCAAATAATGTCTGTACATCGTACAGTGAATTAAAAATTCTAAAAAGATATAAAATGAAAAGTGAAAGACTTTTTACCCCTTACACCAATTCCAAATATTCCTTTAAAAGGATAACCGTAAGTTAGTAGATACTGTATCCCTCTCCAGAAAAAAAATGTATGTGCTAAATACTTGCATACACATATGCACATACATATACCTATCTGTATATCCATGTATGTACAAGCAGTTATATTCTTTGAAAAATTTTATGAAATGGCTCACCCTTATACATGGTACTGTTTCTTGCTTTTTCATACATGTACTAATATTACTTAGATTTCATCTCAACACATCTAGATCTACTGTATTCCACTCCTTTAATTATTATTGCTATTCAAAAGTTCTTACTTTGTGCTGGGCATTGTACTAAATGGTTTACCCTAGTTTTATTCATTTAATCTCCATGACAGTTCTAAGTACTAAGTACTATTGTTTGCCCCTTCACAAGCATTCACTCTGAACCTAAGCTCAAAATCAAATTTTCTGCTGATTGACATTTAGGTACCCTCCAGTTTTTTGTTCTGTTTTGTTTTGTTAGCTAAGATAATACTATCACAATAAAATAGCTTTGGGACCATATGTTTGTGTGTGCTTATATGTGTATGTGGGTTGTGGTGTGTAAGTTTGTGTATATAAGACCACATACATTTGCATACCTAATAAGTCAATTTCTATTAGTCAAATTGCTGGATAAAAAGGAACTCTCTTTAAAATGTATTTTCTAAGTTTTTTTTCATATGGATCCTGCACATTTCTGAGTGAGTTTATTTTTGGATATTTTATTATTAGTAGCTCTTGATTTCTTCTACAATACATCTTTATGCAATTACTGGTTATTGCTTATGTAGGAAGCATTTTTAAAAAATGTTTCAGCCATTTTACTGGATTTCTTACTGTTTCTAATGATTTTTCTGGGAATACCATCCTAGTCTTCAAATATTGATAAATTTTGATTCTCCTTTCCAATATCTGTTTTCCTTTATGCTTTTCTTTACCGTTTCATTAGCTAGGAATTCCACAAGGTTATTTAACAGTGGTGATACTGTATACCTGTCTTGATTCTGACTTTAAAATAAATGCTTTCATTGAAAGCCAGGAATTATAGCAGTGCATTATGACATTTAATTCTTTAATGCTTTAATTCCTGCACTTATTGTGTGTGCTATTTTTTCATCAGTTGGTGTGTGTTATGCTAAATTAAAAAATAATTTGGAAGTTTCATTTTGGTTGTGGACTCACCTTAAAAAGAATGAGAGGATTTTCTTGTGAACACATCTATGATAGGTAACTTGCAGGGCACTCTATTCCTTTAACAAATCTTCAAACTTTTGTATTGTTTTCTATTGCTTTATTTTTAATCTCATTTTCAATTTATAATGACAACATATTTTCTTCAAAAATTATCCATTCATCATTTTAGCTAGATTTCTTTTATTTGCATAAAGTTTTTCAAAAGTTTCTCTTAATTCCCTCTGCTTCAAGGTTATACCTCCTGAATTTTAAGTATTTTTATTATATACACACACAAACATATATATACACATACACACTATAGAGATATATAGATATCTCAAGTTGCTTATTCTTTCTCTTATACTTGAATGTCAAGTTGAATGTAGAACATTTTTGGCTCATGTTTTCTTTTCTTTATTATTTAAGTTTTTAACACTTGAGCACAACCTTCTCATTAAGACAGACAACTACAGATTGCATTATTTAAAGCTCCTAGCTGCTGCATGAAGCTATCGATTAGGAGAGGCACGAGTCTATATGATAGGGAAGCTTCACTGTATCCTCTTACACTCCGTTACCCACCTAAAGTTAAACAGTACCCTAATTTCCTATCACCATAGTTTGGTTTTCATTGTTCTTGAAGTCTGGGTAAATGTATCACGTGTGGAATCTTTTATATCTGACTTCTTTTGCTCATTTTATGGCATGAGGTCAATCTGATTGTCACATGTGACATGAACTTGATCTTTTTCTATATTGAATACCATTCAGTTACATGAATACAAGAATTCATTTATCCATTCTACTAATAATGAGCATTTTTCAATTTCTCTCAGTAGTTTATAGTTTCTCTGTAGAGGTCTTGCACATCTTTAATTGGATTTATTCATAGATATCTTTCCTGATACTTCATAAAAGTTGCTGTTTTATTTCTTTTAATTGTTGTTTCTCGTATATGCCATCATAATTGATTTTTTATTAATAGTCTTTATGTTTTGGAAAAGTTTTAGATTTACGGAAAAACTGAGCAAATTGTGCTGAGTTTCCTTATATCCCCACACACAATTTTCCCTGTTATTAATATCATTCAACAATATAGTACATTCATTACAATTAACAAACCAGTCTCAATATATAGTTAAAAATGAGCACATAGTACAGAGTTCCCATATATGCCCATACACAGTTGCTTCCATTATTAATATCTTACATTAGTATGATATATTCCTCACAACTAATGAACTAATATTCATACATAATTATTAAGTGAAGTCCATAGTTTAATTCAGATTTCCTCAGTTAATACCTAATGTCCTTTTTCGTGCCCCAGTACCATCCAGGATGCAACATTACATGTGGTTGCGCTGTCTCCTTAGGATCTTCTTGGCTGTGGAAGTTTCTTACACTTTTTTTGTTTTTGCTGAACTTGATAGTTTTGAGACATACTGGTCAGGTATATTGTAGGATGCCCCTATAATAGGATTTGTCTGAGGTTTTTCTCATGATTACACTGAGGTTATGAGCTCTTAGAAGGAAGATCTCAAAAGTAAAGTGCCTTCTTATCACATCATATCTAGAGTATATGTATCAGCATTATTTATGACCATTGATGAGGAACTTGATCATCTAGCTGAAGTAGTGTTTATCAGGTTTTTCCACTACATCATTACTCTTTTTCTCCCCTTTCCATATTGTGCTTTCTGGAGGGCAGTCACCACCCACAACCCGCACTGAAGGAGTTGGGGTTTTGCACTCCCTTCTTTATGGTGAAGGATCTACATAATTTATTTGGAAGTCTTCTTTATGGGAGATTTGTGTCTTCTTTCACAATTAATTTTCCTGTAGAGACTTTTGTATCCAGCAATCTTGCTAAATTGTTCATACTAATACTTTTTTTGTAGATTCTTTTGCATTTTCTATGTTCATAACCAGCTCCTCTGCAAGTTTATTATTATTCTATTATTTCTTCCTGTCTAACCCAAATAGTTTACATCCTTTTTTGCCTTATTGCAGTGGGCACAGTGAGTACAAGTGGTGATAGCATGTCTGTCTCATTTCCATTTTCAGGAGGGAAAGCTTTTAATATTTTATTATTAATGGTGAAGTTTGATGTAGATGTATTTGATTTGAATGAGGGATTTTCTTTCTATATTCAGGTTTTAAAGAATTTTTAAAATCATGAATACATGTGAATGTTACCAGATACAACTGTGTTTTCTGCATCTATTTAGGTATTCAAATATATTTCCTTCTTTATTCTTAAAGTGAGATAGAGTACATTGATTTTCAAATCGTAAATCAGCCTTTTCTTTCTGGAATAAACTCAATTTATCTTTATATTTTGTCCATTTTATGTGTTTCTATGTTCAATTGTTCATATTTTGTTAGAAGTTTCTACATTAATGCTTATGAGAGAAATTTTTATTTCTTGCAATGTCCATATAACATTTTGGTCCCATTACTACAGTTATTTCATAAAATGAAGTGGAAAATATTTCCTCTTTTTCTATTCTTTGAAATAATTTGAGCAACATTACTTTCATGGCTTCCTCTAATATTTGACAGTATTCACTGATGACACTGATGAAGACAGATGGACGTAGAGTTCTGACTGCTAGAAGGATTTAAATTATAAAATTCGAATGCTTAATATAGGGATGTTAAGAGTTTCTGTTTCTTATTGTGTTTGGGAAATTCTGTTTTATAAAATGTGTTCATTTCATATGAATTTTCAAATTTAGTAGTATAAATTTCTCATGATATTTTATATTTTTAATGTCTTTTAACTCTAGAGTGACATCTGCTTTTTCATGATATAGGTAATTTGGATATTAGCTTTTTAAAAAAATTCTTCATCAGTATTTCTAGGGGGTTATCAGTATTAGTATTTTCAAAGAACCAAGTTTTAGATTTCTTGAATTTCTATATTGTAAATTTTTCCATTTTAACTTTCCTTCCTAAAACGGATTCATTTTGTTGTTTTGCTATTATAGAATATTGGATGGATGCTCAGAACACTGATTTCAGCCTTCCTTTTTTATAATGTGTACATTTAGGAATATAAGTTTTTGCCTAATTCAGTTCAAGTTAATATCTAATTTTCATGGTGATTTCTTTTTTTCAATCCCTGGCTTACCTAGAAGCAAATACTTAATTATTCACATTCGAATATTTTCTAGTTATATTTTTTGATATTGATTTCAGCTCAAATTCACTATGGTCAGAGAAATATTCTGAACACTCTATGGAGTTTCAATCCATTGAAACTTGAAGGATTAAATAAGTTTTTTTTATGTTTCAATTAGTGGTAGATATTTGTATATATTTCATATGAATTTGAAAACAATGTTTATTCCACAATTGTTGAGTGTTCTATAAATAATAATGAGATAAAGTTTATTAATTATATTGTTCATATTGCCTATATTCTTCACTGATTTTTTTCTCATTCTAATGTTTATTCAGAGAGATGTGGTAAAAATCTGCATTTA